TGTTTTTATTGATTAGCAGGAATATGATTAAGAACTGTAAGCTTTCTTCCTTTAAGTCATTGAAAGGTGGTATCTATTCAGCTATGCTATAGTCTTTTAAGACCCATACTACCACTTGTTCTGTATACTCTGTTAACACTGACTCTGTCTACTGCAGCCAACGTTTTAGAAAAACAACACAGTATTAGAAAGGCACAGGGTTGGCATAAGGAAGCAGTCCAATGAGACTTTCTCCCTATGCTTACATCTTATTGGCCTGTGTTACCTTTCTCTTTTGATAATATTTGGGATTCCTTCTTAGTCTCTGGTGAAATCGCCCAAAAGCTGAATCCTGTGAAAAGTCAGTTTGGTCCAACAACTCACTTAAAAGTAGCACGGGTTCTTTCGGTGCAGCAGGGATGGCTCTGAGACAGCTGGTTTGCACAGGCTCATGGGGAGTCAGGTCTAGTGCGTTGATAGCAGGACAATCAAAAGTGCAGCACACCTTAAAGGACAGAAGCAGTCACTCTGTTTCTCTTGTCTTTGGCCAGCCCTAAGTAGGCATCCTTTTCCCTTTCTTTACTGCACATCTCAGAATGTGTCAGCAGCCATATTTCAACTGGGCCTCCAGTTTTTTTTCCTAAGGCAAAATTTACTAGTGTAATAGATCTGTAAGGCTTTGTTCTCATTCAACAAGCCTCACATTAATATATGGCTGTGAAGGACAGCAGAGTGCTGAACTTGCCAGAGCACTCTGTGTGTTTTGAACTTTAGCAGTACACAATCCATTCTATTTGGCTGCCAGCTAGAACAGAACACAATGAAGCCAAGCAGTGTTGGCCAGAATTTCAGAGATGCTGAGCACTTGCTACTCCTATGGAAGAGGAGGAGAGAGAACATGAAAGGAAAAGAGGAGAGAACACACAGCTGTTGGGGATGGGGAGGGGGGAAGGTGAGAAGGGAAGAATTTAGTCAAGAATTCTGTTGTTTTGAACAGCTCTCCAGTTTCTTTGAACATTCTTATTTAGAAATGCTAGTGCAAAAATTAACACAAAAGTGCTTAATGAAATATTTGCCTAAATGACAATGTCAGTGTCCTTCAGTATCTTACTTACCTATTCATTATAATAAATTGTTTAATGCTAGTACATTATTATTCCATATTAACTGTTCCACCTCCATTAGTCCTCTGCAAACATGGGCAACTTTTTCCAATACTCTGATTAGTCTTTCCATGAAGACCAAATCCCTCCCTACTCCACTAAACTGAATACTTTTCAATTATATAACTATTTGGTTTATTCGGTGTCTGGAATTTCTCCTTTAGGGGAACTTTAACAAATACTTTATGAAAAAAGTCATTAACATACAAAAACTGTTTTTAACAAAGTTGCAAAGCAGAGCACTTAAAAGATAAGAACTGCCAGAATTAAGATTATTTATTATTTGTACTACAGTAGCACATTGGAACTCTGGTTGTGGAGTAGGACTCCACCATGTGAGGCAATGTACAAAAAGACTGTCCCTGCCTCAAGGAACTTATCATCAAGATTGCCTGTGCAACCTTAACTCGACTCTCCTGTGACCATGCATTATGATATTTAACTACATGATCACATACTGCAGTCTCTTCAACATGACACCTTCCTCATTCAGTGCACAGGATGGATGGTGCTGTATGTGATTATGTAATTAAAGACTGTATCATAACACATACCTTAGTGCATACCTAAATCATAATGCAACCTTAATTCTGGTATTTCCTAACTTTTGAGTGTTTGACTTCGCAACCTTTATGTTCTTTTAATGTAGTTTTTGTATGTAATTTCCTAGGTTTAAAAAAAAAAATGATAAAACGAATTGTCATATATATTATCCCCATTATATTATATGATGATGTGGATCATCAGCAAGGTTGGTGCATTTAAATCCACATCGCTTGAGCTAATAGAGTAAATGGGGTAACATGTGGACCAACCACTACTGAGAAATATAAGACACACTTTGCTAGTGGGTTTCACAGCTAGTCTCTGACAGCAGAAAAAGAATTTCAGGTTCCGGAGGAAAGTGTACTCTAGTAGTTACATATCCTTCTTTCCCCATCCCCTATCCTTTTCTTCTTCTGGTCCCTAGCATATGCCTGTGCAATCTCTCTCTGCCTCACATTCCCCTATCCCTGCCCCAAAGCCTGACTCTGCACACCCTCTGCATCCAAGTCAAACTGTTCTCCCCTAGGCTGCTTGGGCACCAGCAGAAAGAGGCTGAGAGCATAGGAAAGACAGTCTCCCTGCTCTCAGTTCCTGTGCCTGACACAGTAGCAGCTCTCAGCAGCTGGGAAGAGTAATTACAAAGAAAGGTTTCAGAGTAGCAGCCGTGTTAGTCTGTATCCATAAAAAGGAAAAGGGTATGCATCCGATGAAGTGAGCTATAGCTCACAAAAGCTTATGCTCGAATACATTTGTTAGTCTCTAAGGTGCCACAAGTACTCCTTTTCTTTTTTACAAAGAAAGGGCTGCTCAGTTGGAGACTGGAGCATACTAAAGACTGATAGATAGGGTGACCAGATGTCCTGTTTTTCGAGGGACAGTCCCATTTTTGTGGACTTTTTCTTATATAGGCACCTATTACCCTCCACCTCCTGTCCTGTTTCCCAGTTGCTATTTGGTCACCCTACTGATAGACTCTTCAGACAATCTGCCATCATCTAACAAATCTCTACTGAGTGTAAGTGAACAGATTTTTCAGAGGTTCAGAACTTGGTCAAATTTTGGTGGATTTTGACAGGGACAGATACTAAATTTCCCCCTCCAAATTTCAAGATCTTGCTCAAAAGCATGAAGGCCCTGGAGTATCTTCACGAAATAGTTGTAAGAATTTAAAGTGGACAAAACAACATTTTTCTCTAATCTTGTTCTAGGAAACAACTGAACCATTTTTGACTAAACTTAAAAACAAAACAAAAACAAAAAAATTCAGCCTTGGACATGGAAAATTCCAGCCCAATTAGTTAAAATTTGGGAAAGTTCTAGGCAACTCAAGGCTTATAATGGAAATTGTTAGCTATGCATTTCGTGAAGGCTGCCGATCAGCTTCCCCTATAATAATGTTACTGTGCATCATTTAACTTGTCTGACAATAATAGTGTAATGATAATTATTGTACACTTAATAGCAGCCCTATCAGCTAATCACATACTTACAGGCTTCAAAAATTCAAATGGGCCTGTCAGCTCCAAAGCTACAGGCTGTTACCTGAAGTGTAAAAGGAGCAGTTGTGCTAACTCAACCAGTTGTGAGAAATGGTAATCACTTGTCCATGTCTGAAGTTCTGTTGTGCATTTTCACTCTGCTTGGATCCACTGCTCCCTACTCAGTGCTCTTCTAATTTAGTTTTAATCTGGCATTGACAAATTGGGATGTGTTAATAGAACTTTTCATTACAAGATAAAACTGACCTAATGATTTGTCCATGAAGGGGCCTATGGCTGCCAGGGCTCAGGCCAGCAAACTTGGTTGGGGATTAAGTAGGTTTACTCCAGAGAAAGTAGCCAGAAAAAGTTTCTAATCCTGCAGCCACGCCACCAAGAATGTGATCTTGTAACATTTCTAAGGGTATTAGTGGATTGGGTTGTGACACATGCAGGTGCTTTTTGTGAGCCGATATTGAGCCACTGCACCAGAATAGGGTTAACAGGCATTGTGATGTTAGATGTTTATTCTGTTAGATCAGTGGTTCTCAAGCAGGGGTATGTATATTCCTGGAAGTATACCGAGGTCTTCCAGAGAGTACATCAGCTCATTTAGATATTTGCCTAGTTTTACAACAGGCTGCATAAAAAGCAATAGTGAAGCCAGGACTAACTAAAATTTTATACAGACAATGACTTGTTTACATGGTTCTATATACTATATCAGTGGTTTTCAAAGTGTGGGTGAGTTCATTTTAACAGGGTCACCAGGCCAGAGTTAGACTTGCTGGGGCCCGGGGCAGAAAGCCAGGCCACACAGAGCTGAAGCTGAAGCCTGAGTTTTTAAGTGAGGTGAAACTTGGGGTACATAAGACAAATCAGACTCCTCAAAGGTGTACAGTAGACTGGAAAGCTTGAGAATCACTGTGTTAAATGACATAAAACCAAAGTTTGGTACAGTAGTTTAAAGCTCCTATGGCTTTTTCTTGTTGTTGCTATAAGGGGGGTGCTACCCTGGATATCTGAAAGGCTCAAGTTCTGGAGTCCCTGAAGGCCAGAACTACTATATGTAATTGGGCAATATGCGGAAGCTTGGTCTGCCACTTTCTACTGTGTGGTTAAATAAAGAACTCAACAGCATGATTTATGGATGTGGCCCCAAGCACAGCTTTAAAGTGGGTGCCCCTTTGACACAACTTACTTCCAATGCCCTCCCTCTTCCCCAATTGCCAATGCCTTCCCTAGTTTAGTCACCCACTGTGCTACTCACACTTGATGCTTAGCACTTCATGGCACCTCTATGAAGCAGCAGCTCCTCATTCCTGCTTCAGCTGCTGTGTTTCCCCTTTGGCTTTAGAGTGGTAAACACAGGAGGAAAGCTACATTTAATTATGGGGTATGAAGTGGGCAGGAATAAGGCTCAGTGGGGATAGTGTAGGCCACTGTGACGGGGAGTGCGGGGGAAGAAACTGTGGGAGGAGGTATGAAGGAAAAATTATTTGTGGGGGATGGCCCAAGGCAAGGCACAGAGATGGAAGGTTACTGGGTCTTCATAGCGGGGTCGGAGTGGAAGGAGGATTAACATGTCTCATTGTGGGAACAAGAAAAAAAAACAGAAAACGAGACTGATTCTGTTGGAGAGGAAATTCATATTCATTTTCTGCTCCTGGTCTCTCTCATCTGAGCCAGAAGGAACTGGGAGTATCTGAAAGTCCTAGGGAGAGCCTCACTATATGTGATAACAACCTGTCAAGGTGCAAACACTGGGCAAAATAATGAAATGAGAAAATGAGAAAAATAAGAGTGCAAGAAACTTTATGTAAGGTTGGATGAATTTCTAGAGCATTAATAATATATTCTATAACCTACATTTCATGTCTCATCAATTTACAGTAAGGAAAAACAAGATTGCCACTGGGCCAATTTGGGTAAAAGATATGGGGTATTACTTGAAGGTTCCAAGGAAGAACCACTATTACACCAGGAAAAGATTGGGGGTAAGTGTATTTTTCAGATTTGTTTTTTAGCTGGGTGGATTTAAAATTTACATAAGAACACAAGACAGGTAATCATCAAGTGATCCATCCCATCGTCCATTCCCAGCTTCTGGCAAACAGAGGCTAGGGACACCATCCCTGCCCATCCTGGCTAATAACCATTGAATTTATCTAGTTCTTCTTTGAACCCTGTTATAGTCTTGGTCTTCATTACATCCTCTGGCAAGGAGTTCCACACGTTGACTGTGCGTTGTGTGAAAAAATATTTCCTTTTGTTTGTTTTAAGCCTGCTGCCTATTAATTTCATTTGGTGGCCTCTAGTTCTTGTGTTATGAGAAGGAGTAAATAACACTTCCTTATTTACTTTCTCCACACCAGTCATGATTTTATAGACCTCTATTATATCCCCTCTTAGTCATTTCTTTATTTAGAAACTGATACATTGCTAGTTAAAAATAGAAATTATATTTCTATTCAAATGCAGCAACTGGATCTGTTAATAAAATCTTCTCTTCTAAAAGAAATTTAAAAAATGCATATGCTTTTCAGAAATATTTAAAAATTAATCCAGAATCCTGGAATTGGCTGTTCTTTGACCTACAAGGAATCAAACTCCAAAATCCTTAGAACATTTCTCTGTGGGTGGGTCAGCTGGAACATCTAGTTTATTATTATCTTAAATTTGAATTTTGCTTATTAGCTTGAGTTGTATCAGATCAATGGATGTGACTTCAATATAAAGCTGTTGTACAAACCATGAAGTATAAATTGATGCAAACAGAGGGGGTAATTTGGCTGCTCCTGGACAGAAGGATCATGTATTTACTGAGGGACACCCTACCCTAAATTCTCTATAACTGAGGGACAATCTGTCACTATTGCTCTATTTGCTTTCCACAAGCTACTCTGAGTATAAATTTTTATGAGTGATGTATCTGAATATTTGGATGCTAATATTTTAATTGTATTGTTAAATTTATTAACCTTAATTTGGGATATTGCAGATTATGTATATATTTTATGACTTTTAAACCAAACTTTGTACTTTTGGATCATGTAAGCATTATACCCAGATGTGTAGGCACTCTTCCCTTAACCTGTGTATTAGATAATTTCAGCGTTAGCTTTAATAAAAAGTTTTACTGTAGGCACTTTCGCATGCTTGGCTATGAAAAACAGAGGCACCTTCAGGGAGGTCTGCTTAATTTTTGGAGACCTACAGCGGGAGATCGAGCAGGGAGATGAGTCAGGGAAATGAATTCCGGCAACTTTCACGTGATGTCCATTTTGAATTGGGGTGTGCAAAAAACTGGCTGTGAGGCTGCACCCAGGGGCCGAGGCAGGGGCAGGGAGAGATGAAGAGGCAGGTTAAACAAGGCAGGAAGACGCAGACGGAGCGAAGGGAAGGGGGCCCCGCTCTGGAGGCGCCAGGCGGCGCTGTAAGCTGCGAAAGCGGAGCCACCCCCACCGCGGCTTCCCGCTGCCCTTTGCCTCCTGGCGGCGGCGCGGAAATCAAATTTCGGCGCCTGGCCGGGCCCTCAGCGCTGCCGCCACCCCGGGCCGGACTCCCAGCTCCAGCGGGAAGGAGGCGATATGGTAAGCGGCGTTCGGTCCGGCTCCCCCTGCCCGGGAGCCGCGGGCCCTCGGCGAGCGGCTGCCCGGGCGCCCCTGCGGGAACCGAGCTCCGGGGCCCTCCCCAGAGCCAGCCGCTACCGAGCCTGTCGGAGGCGCTGCTCGGTTTATGGCCTGGGCGCGCAGATGGGGTGACTGGGGGGGCCCGTGGCCGCCTGGCCCGCCCCGTGCAATGGGCAGAAGGGGTGTGCCCGTAGCCGCCTGGTCTGTGCTGGGCTTTCCTAGACCCGCCCCCCCGATCCTGCTGGGCCCCTCACCCGTGGCCACCCGGCGCGGCCCCTCTGCAGGTGCCCGGAGTCCGACCCGTGGCCCCACAGCCCTGGCCCTGGCCTTGGCCCTGGCCCGGTGTGTTCCGGTCCGCGCGCGGCGCCTGCAGCCACCCCCTCGCCGCCGCTCACTCGCAGGGGCTCCAGGCCAGCTTCTTTAGTCGGGTTTAAAAAGGGGGGGCGGTTCAGACAAGAACCAAGTCGCTACAAGTTTAGTGTATTAGCCAATACCTAAACACCAGGTCTTGTACTAGAGGAGAAAATGCGGACTGCCCCAGTTTTGAAGTGAGTTAAATCCTGCATAACCCCATTGATTTCACCCATTAAAAATGTTGACTTTTAATGGGATTTCATAGGGTGTAATTAACTTGTGGAACTCAATACCACAAAATCTCATTGAGGCCAGAAGTTTAACAAGATTAAAAAAAGGGGGGCTCCACATTTATAGGGATAAAGAGTGTCCCTGGTTATATTATGTCGGGCATGAAATAGCCACCACTTTCCAGAGGTTAGGAAGAAACATCCAGCATGAGCAGATTATCCCATGATTGTCCATTACTGGGTTTTTTGTACCTGCATTTGGTACCCTCCCCTGCCAAAGACAGGATACTGGAGTAAATGGACTGATTAGTCAGTATGGCAAATCCTTATGTTCCTTTGCTTGGAATTTGGCTCAAAATTCCAAACTTTACTAATGACATCACAAACTTTCAATGTAGAGTTTAAAATAGGCTTAAAACAATTGAGAGGCCCTGTTAGGGAAGGGGATTTTCTCCATGATGAAACCAGCTGCTGTTTCCTTGGAGTTGCAGCTGGGATTGGGGTTATGACAAAGGAAGTGGTAAAGAGAAACAGTTGGATAGATTGTAGGGAGCAAGAACTGGTTGTAGGAGGAGAAAAGAGCAGAGATGTAGGCAGGCTAGAAATGTGGAGAGAACTGAACTTGAATCATGAGAGGATCTTAGAGGCTTTGAGAGTTGAACCTTACAAAGCTGGGTAGGTGCATTATAGTGCTCTTCTATCAACTTTGAATCATCAGATATAGGTTATTGGATGCTTGCCTCATTACCCAATGAGAGGAGGAGTGGACCAGTGATTAGAGAACTAGCCTAGGTCTTGGGAGATTTTAGTTCAGCTCCTTGGTCTGCACACGACTTCCTCTGTGACCTTGGGCATGTCTCTTAGCTTTTCTGTGCCTCAGTTCCAGCTGTAAAATAGGGATAATAGTATTTCCTTATTTCACAGAGGTTTGTGAAGATAAATATGTTAAAGGTTATGAAGTGCTTTGAGACCTGTTGATGAAAAGTGATAGTGATCTGATAGGTTTTACTGTTAATAATGTGTTCTGGTAAGGCCTTTGTTTCTCTACATATGATTGGTCTCCTTCATGTTGCTTTTCATCTCTCTATTTTCTCTGCCACTTGAGATGAGGCAGAGGTGGGTAAAGTTTTCCCAGTAATTTTTCTCATACCATCTTCTATTGAAAATGGATGGTAGTGTTTTTGTATAACAGCTTCATATAATTACTTTTAATCCTTCTCTGTCTAAAAGGTGAATTCAAGAATTTAAATGTCAGGATTTTTCCCATATAAATTCTAATTTAATTTATGTTTCTGTAGCACTGGTCAATGCAATATTGATTAGCTGCACTCCATATTTCCAATAAAATCTTTTAAAGCTGCATCTGTTTTATGTTTTTCCTCCCTGTTAGTTGCATGTGGACCAAACTAATTTTAGCTGGAGGCCACCACTGTTATAACAGGTCATGTAAAAATAACTTGCACTAGGCCCAGTCTTCTTAGCATATGTGTAGTGTGCCTCAGATGGCACGTGACCAGGATTCATCACTGAATTTGGTCCGCTGGTTGGATCATTAGCTTACCTGGCTTTGGGCTGGGTACTGATGGGGAGTGCAATATGAACACTGATCCATTAGGCCCAGTGATGAGTAGCATAGCCAAAATTGGAACACAAAAAGGTTTTGTGGGATTTACATGGGCAGTTTCCCATACATCCAGGTGTGAACAGAACTTATAGTAGCTTGATTGTGGTTATACTGTCCACACAGCCCCATGAACATCAAGAATGACTTCCATGCTTAAGTAAACTTGAGTAAACTTAATAATACTGCATGCTACCAAAACATGATTTAAAATGTCATGTTGTATTTACATATTTTTGTTCCCATCATTGCCGATTACCAAGATATTTGGGGAAAAATAGAACCCTTATTAACTTCTAGTCAATCTGCTGTTCTTATTTATACAGCAGTGCCATATACAAGTGTTTGTAACATCAAAATCTCTTTCATAATAACTAGTTGTGATGTCACCAATTTAGGTATGTGGCAGAGTTGAATAAATCAGATGGGAAGAGTTTATGTAAAAAAAATACAAAATTTAACAAGGCTTTAGTCAAATAAACTTTATTACAGTGAATTAATTGTTTTAAATTGATGCATAAGTGACTGCTGAATAAATTATCTTCCAAAATTAAAATTTTGTACAATATAACTTAAAAAAAATCCAAAGCAATCTGGCCCTTGTCCATGACCACAGATGATAAATGCAAACATTTGTTGCTCTTGCATATAACCTGTTTCAAAGTGAAAAAGCCATGAAACTGACAAGAATTCCATCACTTTCAATCTACTGCAGCTTTGATATGCTATGAATAGCTGAGGCAAGGCATGATTCTCTCCTTTCAAAGTTTTATGTGTCCCTGAATGCTACTTACCTTTTCTAGGAACTCCCCAAATTCACTTTCCCACTGATGAGTGTTTTTAAGGATTCTTTTTAGTATATGAAGATTATGCAGCATATTTTTCCGGTACATAATGTGATGCACTAGCACTTTCTTCCTATGGGCTTTAAAGGGACACTATCAACTTAAAAAGTCACATTTCTGCTTAGAAATATTTTATATGCTGTTGTTACAAGTAACACTTGGTGGGATAACATGATTTTGGTAATTAATTGATCTTTAAATATTCATGGTAAATAGGCCCAATGGCCTGTGATGGGATGTTAGATGGGGTGGGATCTGAGATACTACAGAAAATTCTTTCCTGGGTATCTAGCTGGTGAATCTTGCCCATATGCTCAGGGTTTAGCTGATTGCAGTATTTGGGGTCAGGAAGGAATTTTCCTCCATGGCAGATTGGAAGAGGCCCTGGAGGTTTTTCGCCTTCCTCTGTAGCAGGGGCATGGGTCACTTGCTGGAGGATTCTCTGCTCCTTGAAGTCTTTAAACCACAATTTGAGGACTTCAGTAGCTCAGACATAGGTGAGAGGTTTATCGCAGGAGTGGGTGGGTGAGATTCTGTGGCCTGCATTGTGCAGGAGGTCGGACTAGATGATCATAATGGTCCCTTCTGACCTTAGTATCTATGAACACTCAATATAATTGACAGAGATTGGAGAGGAAAATACTTTTCAGTTTTACTTTTCTGTATTATATTTGTATATAATCCGTTCCAGTGTTTCCCTGTATATTCAATCAGTTTCCCCTGCTAATTGTTTGACACATGATGAAAAGAAAAATATTTGAAAAACGGAGCACAGGATCTGTTCCAAGAGGTGAATATAGCTGAAGCTCTTGGTAATAGTGACTATAATATAATAAAATTTAACATCCCTGTGGTGGGGAAAACACCACAGCAGCCCACCACAGTAGCATTTAATTTCAGAAAGGGGACTACACAAAAATGAGGAAGTTAGTTAAACAGAAATTAAAAGGCACAGTGCCAAAAGTCAAATCCCTGCAAGCTGCATGGAAACTTTTTAAAGACACCATAATAGAGGCTCAACTTACATGTATACCCCAAATTAAAAAACAGAGAACCAAAAAAGTGCCACCGTGGCTAAACAACAAAGTAAAAGAAGCAATGAGAGGCAAAAGGGCATCCTTTAAAAAGTGGAAGTTAAATCCTAATGAGGAAAATAGAAGGGAGAATAAACTCAAGCAAATGAAGTGTAAAAATATAATTAGGAAGGCCAAAAAAGAATCTGAAAAACAACTAGCCAAAGACTCAAAAAGTAATAGCAGTTATTTTTAAGAACATCAGAAGCAGCAATCCTGCTAAACAACCAAGGGGGCCACTGGATGACTGAGATGCTGAAGGAGCATTCAAGGGTGATAAGGTCATTGCAGAGAAACTAAATGAATTTTTTGCATCAGTCTTCATGGCTGAGGATATAAGGGAGATTCCCAAACCTGAGCCATTCTTTCTAGGTGACAAATCTGAGAAACTGTCCCAGATTGAGGTGTCCTTAGAGGAGATTTTGGGACAAATTGATAAATTAAACAGTAATAAGTCACCAGGACCAGATGGCATTCACCCAAGAGTTCTGAAGGAACTCAAATGTGAAATTGCAGAACTTCTGTGATATATAATTTATCATTTAAATCAACTTCCGTACCAAATGATTGGAGGATAGCTAATGTGATGCCAATTTTTAAAAGGGGCTCCAGAGGTGATCCTGGCAATTGCAGGCCGGTAAGCCTAACTTCAGTACTGGACAAATTGGTTGAAACTATCGTAAAGAACAAAATTGTCAGACACACAGATGAACATAATTTGTTGGGAAAGAGCCAACGTGGTTTTTGTAAAGGGAAATCATTCCTCACCAATCTACTAGAATTCTTTGAGGGGGTTAACAAACGTGGATAAGGGTGATCCAGTGAATATAGTATACTTAGAGTTTCAGAAAACCTTTGACAAGGTCCTTCACCAAAGGCTCTTAAGCAAAGTAAGCTGTCCTGGGATAAGGGGGAAGGTTCTCTCATGGATTGGTAACTGGTTAAAAGATAGGAAACAAAGGGTAGGAATGAATGGTCAGTTTTCAGAATGCAGAGAAGTAAATAGTGGTGTCCCCCAGGGGTCTGTACTGGGACAAGTACTATTCAATATATTCATAAATAATCTGGAAAAAGGCGGAAACAGTGAGGGGGCAAAATTTTCAGATGATACAAAACTACTCAAGATAGTTAAGTCCAAAGCAGACTGAAGAGTTACAAAGGGACCTTACAAAACTGGGTAAATAGGCAACAAAATGGCGGATGAAATTCAATGTTGATAAATGCAAAGTAATGCACATTGGAACACATAACCCCAACTCTACATATAAAATGATGGGGTCTAAATTAGCTGTTACCACTCAAGAAAGAGATCTTGGAGTCCTTGTGGATAGTTCTCTGAAAACATCCACTCGATGTGCAGTGGCTGTCAAAAAGGCGAACAGAATGTTGGGAATCATTAAGAAAGGGATAGATAATAAGACAGAAAATATCATATTGCTTCTTTAAACATCCATGGTACACCAACATCTTGAATACTGCGTGTGGATGTGGTCACCCCATCTCAAAAAAGATGTATTGGAATTGGAAAAGGTTGAGAAAAGGGCAGCAAAAATGATTGGGGTATGGAACGGCTTCCATATGAGGAGAGATTAATAAGACTTGGACTTTTCAGCTTGGAAAAGAGATGAATAATGGGAGATATGATAGAGGTCTATAAAATCATGACTGGTGTGGAGAAAATAAATAAGGAAGTGTTTTTTACTCCTTCTTATAACACGAGAACTAGGGGTCACCAAATGAAATTTATAGGCAGCAGGTTTAAAACAAACAAAAGGAAGTATTTTTTCACACACAGTGCACAGTCAACCTGTGGAACTCCTTGCCTGAGGATGTTGTGAAGGCCAAGACTATAACAGGATTAAAAAAGAACTAGATAAATTCATAAAGGATAGGTCCATCAATGGCTATTAGCCAGGATGGGCAGAGATGGTGTTCCTAGTCGCTGTTTGCCAGAAGCTGGGAATGGGTGACAGGATGGATCCCTTAATGATTACTTGTTCTGTTCATTCCCTCTGGGGCACTGGCATTAGCCACAAGTTGGAAGACAGAATACTGGGCTAGATGGACCTTTGGTCTGACCCAGTATGGCTGTTTTTATGTTTTTAATAAAGATAATGTGATTGTTAATCCACAACATTGGAAAGGTGATTTGAAGGCAGATACAGTATCTGAAAACTACTCTAACTTATACTTTAAAATGGTCTAGATTTCACATTGGCTATGTCATTTTAACAAGAAGGAAAGAACAATATTCACAGAAATAAATGAGTCAGACAAAAAGCAGAAGTCTCACACTATAGACTAAATAGTAGAAATAACTTTTTAAGGACAATTGGGCATTGGTACCAGTTACCAAGAGAGACTGGAACTGCCATTTCTAGAGTTAGTAAGGCAAGACAGACAAGGAACTATAGGGATGCAGTAAAACACATTGAAAACTACCTTGCAGTGAGGTAGGGGATGAACTAGATTATACAACATATCAGTACCAAACTTAATATCTTTGAAACAATTGATATATTTTGAATGGATTAGCCCGGCATGGTTTTCCTTTGTGAAGAAGTCCTGTTTTAGGGAGTATTGTGATGTAGGACAGTATTAAGGGAGATGTCAAGGAAATGGTTCTTCTAGAGTAAATAGATGTGAATTCTGAATGAAATGTTAATTCTAAGTACTGAATACATGTTCTATTGTAGTCCAAGAAAAGGGGACTGAGTGTTGAAGAGAAGAGAACTCGTATGATGGAAATATTTTTTGAAACAGTAAGTGTTTTAATTTTTGTATATTTCATAGAATATCAGGGTTGGAAGGGACCTCAGGAGGTCATCTAGTCCAACCCCCTGCTCAAAGCAGGACCAATCCCCAAGTTTTGCCCCGGATCCCTAAATGGCCCCCTCAAGGATTGAACTCACAACCCTGGGTTTAGCAGGCCAATGCGCAAACCACTGAGCTCTCCCTCCCCTTCCTGGCCATTGGGAGCACCCATAAGGAGCCAGAGAGACTGAGTGGCTTGGGCACTGGACTGTGATTCAGGAGTCTTAGGTTCAGTTCCTGGCTCTGCCACTGTCCTGCTGGGTGACCTTGGGCAAGTCACTTCCCTGTTCTGTGCCTCAGTTTCCCCATGTGTAATATGCAGATAGTGATACTGATCTCCTTTATGCAGTTCTTTGAGAGTGACTAAATGAAAAGCAGTATATTACTATTCTTTATTAATGTACCATAGGGGGAAAATACCTTTGTGATTCCATCAAACTGCTAAATTTTTAGCCAGCTTTATTTTTCCTAGGACATAGTGGCCTTACTTGCATTTGTGAAACTATCGGTTGCTGATCAAAGGTGTTGGTGAGAGGTGCAGATGAGCTTGTGCTAAGTAGAGTTTTGGATGCTCTTTTTGTTAAATTGTTCGGCACCAGTTCAACTGAACTTTTATTGATTCCCTTGTCAGCAGTGGATAAGTTATTAACAGTTAAGTCGAAAACCAAAAAGGTTTATTTTTCAGGTAGTGCAACGGTTTCAAATTTAGGTACAACAGTCAGGAAATCCAAAGTTAGATTTCTCATAACATCAGTAATTGCTGCTGATGTACTTCTATGTAGTATTTCTCAAACATTTTCCTGTAAAGGGACTGCCATGTGTAACAGAGGTGGATGCACAAAGCCACATGACCTGGTACCTTAATAACCTCCAGCCCATATGTGAGGGAGCAGCAAAGTAAAATTAAACAGGAATTTGGGACATTTTCAGTATTTGCTTTGTTCCTTAGGCTCCAAATCTCATCAGTTTCTCTGTGCTCCCACAGAAGGCAGGGAGGTAGTTAGGGATGCTCAAATTCGACAGTATGGGAGAGGGATAAAACTGGGAAATAGGAAAGGGAAGGATGAGAATGCACCCAAAAGAGGGCAGTGGAAGGGGAAGAGAAATGGAGCTCCAACTCAGAGACACCTTTGTGTTTGTGATGTAACTGAAATATTATTTATTTTGTTTGTTAAAATTAATTTATTGTGATGCTGCAGTGCAAAAGCAGCTAGACTAGGGGCTGAGGATCTGGCCACAGCGCTCTCTTCCCTGAGGAGCTAGCAGCCTAAATTTAGGCATGAAGCAATTAATTAAAGTAACAAAGAAAAACTGGAGGAAATAACAAAGCCTACAACAAAATAAAATCACTTTTTATTTTCAAATACTTTAGCTCTATCTTGAGGAGCATGCAATATTTTTCCTGGAGAAATGAAAAAATACATTAGATATGGTACTTGTATATTTGTTGGGATTAATTTAGTAAAGAACGTAGACATGACTTAAATGAAACCGTCATTCAGAGCTGACGTGCCTTTTGTGTTTTGAACAGAAAGATGTGTTCCAATTAAAGGATATGGAGAAGATTGCTCCCAAAGAGAAAGGAATTAGTGAGTATTAATGCTTTCCCCCCTCCCTAAAACTTGTTTAGACATTGAGAATTGTTTTGTGGACTAGTTATACTGTGTGCATTTTCATGTTTTCACATAACACTGACTTTATGATCTTTATAACAGTAACGTTAAACAAAAGAAAAAAAATACCTAGCTGCAACTGGTTAGTCATGGTGACCTAACCAAGTGTAAATTTAGAAACTGTACATTTTATGCACACACATCCCAACCCTATGTTACTAGTAGCTGTAACTTATATTGGACATTAAGGCCAACATTTTCAAGTGCTGATGTCTAAAGTCTGGAACTTGTATCCCTAGTTAGCTACCTAAATACATGGCACGATTCTCAAAGGAGCTGAGCACCTACTGAAGTCATTGCTGAGCACCCACAGCTTCCATCTCTGAGAATCATGCCATATGTTTAGGTGCTTAACTAAGGATTTAGGTGTCCAACTTCAGATTATGGCCCATTTAACTAGATCCTTGGCAGTTTCAGAGACCAAAAGAGCATCCGCCACCACAGAAGTAACTGTGAGACTGCCATTTGGTCCCCCCTCACCTTTACTAAGCACTACAGGCCTGACCTGCAATTTTACACGTAAGTGTCCTTTTGTAGGAAGGTTTTCCCTCTATAAAGTAGTACTTTAGGGAAGGGGATTGCTAATCTCACCTGCTCTGATGATTTTTCTTTGTTGCTTGCTACATTCCAAACTGGTCTAGATTAGGGGAAAAGTCAGGACCCAGAATGGAAAATATTCAGGAACAAATTGTCTTCGTATTGTGAGCTATCCTATGCATGATATTGCCATTAGACATCAAAGGGATTCTCTGCATGGAGTGGCTGTGGCACAAGATCTTTATTTTTGGTGTCTTCCAGATAGCTTGTGAAAAAGGAATAAGCTTTTCAGAAATATGTGTTTGTGGATTATGTGCTTTGCTTAGAACTACAGCAACATAAATAATCTGCAGTGAAAATGAAAATAGGTGTAGTACATTGTCTGTTACATTGACATACTTGCTTCGCAATCATATTTTAAAATAAAGTATAACCACTTAACACATACACTGAAGAAAAAGTGACTTTTTTTTCTTTGTTAGCCGCAATGTCGGTCAAGGAGATCCTGCAAAGTTTAGTTGATGATGGTATGGTGGACACCGATAGGATTGGAACTTCCAATTATTTTTGGGCTTTTCCAAGTAAAGCTCTTCATGCCAGGAAGCGTAAATTGGAAGCACTGGAGACTCAGGTATATTTGTGTTGCGAAAAGCACTTGTTTGTCTGAATGGTATTAGCATTCTGTTTTCCTACAGTCCTTGCCATATCTATCTCAGTTTGTTACAGGACATGCTGCCAGTAGGTCCATTTCACCCAGCTAATAAAGTTTTTTTTTCCTGCTATTTTACCGTTTTATCAAAAAGAGCTTATTCGTGAGCCAGAACACAGATGCTTTAAAAAATGTTGCCATGGTTGAGAAGATTTTTTTGTTTGTGTTTTTGTTCCATTGATGCAGAAAAAAATTGTGGCCCGTTTGCTTTAGATTCAAAACATTTTTACCTGGGGAATTATCTTTAAATTATTGGGCAGTATGCATTTTCCTTTTTATGCCATTGTATGTTGTGGCTGGGTGATGTTCTGAGGACTAAAATGGACATCCCAGCAGAGTGCTGCCTTAACTTGGGTATCTGTTTCTGGCTGGTAGCTTTAGTCCTCAGGTACCCTGTCAAACCAACCCTGCACTCCTGTTTAGGGGAGTCGACCAAACTGGTCACAATGTTCTAGATGAGTGCATGACTCTCTTTTGAGCCAACGTTGTTGTTCTATATTTTCAGTATTATTTCTATTTGTTTTTTAAATAAACCCAATTATTCTGCTTGTTTGTTTGAATTGCTGTTCACTGGAAAGACTTCTACTCGTCAGTTTTGTTTATTCAGAGTATAAATATAATCAAAACTCAGAGGGCGACTTTTTGTAAGCAACTTCATGGTCTGATCACATGACATTTCTTTTAATCTGTTCTTTCCCTGATTTGGAACAATTAACTGATTCTTCAGTGAATGGGTTATGAATACAAAATTTATTTATTTCAGAGCATGTTACTTATTTAACTAAAGGTGGAATGAGCTGAGGCCTTGTTTACATGAGAGTTTTCTCAGTGTAGTTCTTCATCCACTCGGCTTTATCTAAACTGGTCTAAGCTGTTTCCCTTGTGAATCTCAGCATCCACACAAGACTGCTCTTATTTTTTAAAATAGGCCCACCACATTCTGGGCAGGCACCCCTGGGTCCAGTGTTTTGCTGCCAGGCTCTATGTATTCTGGGATTTTTCTTTTGATGCATTGTAGGGTAGCTATTGGAACCTACTGAGAGTTGGGTCAGATTCACAAACTCCCATGATTCCTTTCCTAATATCCCATAATTCCTCTGGTTTTTCACAAGCCAGCGTGATTTTCAAAGTGCTGTAAGGCAGCATGGAGGAAGCACTGCAATCCTGACCATCACTAATAGGAGCAGGGTGTTCCAGATGTATTGGCAGTCATGTAGGCAGGTGCTTTGGATGAGTTGGAAGAGATGCTAACATGACTATGATGCCCTCATATCTGTTCCTGGTTCCACCACTGACCTTGCAGGGCAAGTCACTTACCCTCTTTGTGCCTCAGATCACCAATTTTTATAGTAGAGGAGCACTTGTGGCACCTTAGAGACTAACAAATTTATTAGAGCATAAGCTTTCGTGAGCTACAGTTCACTTCTGAAACCAATTTTTATAGTGAGTTTAAATAACAGCTCCCTCACAGGTATGTTGTGTGGCCTCATTAATGTTTGTAAAGCCTCACATCCTTGTGTGACATCTGAGATTGTCAAATGAAAGGCACGATGTGAGTGCAAATTATAACGTGAACTGCTTCCGCTATCCTCAGCAGGATGACCTTGCAGCATTTCCAGGTGTGGCCTCCAGTTGAGTCTGCGGGGGATGGAAATTAAATCCATTTTTGCCGCAGGGCGGTAACACTGTGCTGGTTCCTGTCTGACATTTTAACAAGGTTTTTAATTCTTTGAAAAACTAGATCAGTTTAACTCTCCTCCACTGACCTATTTTGGAATTAGGTTCCTAGCAAAAGTAGTAAAATTCATCACCTCATTAGAGCATCCAAATAAGATAGAGACAAGGCAACTTGGGAGATCTACAAACTGACCAATTGAAAAACCTGCCACAATGTAAATAAGCAACTGAGCAACCAAATCAGTGTGTGCCAAAACTCCAGCCTTGTTCACCCAAACACACCATTACAACTGCCTTGTTGAATGCAAATTTGTTTTTGGACATGTCATTTCAAGTCTGACTGAGTATAATTTATTTAAAAGACCACATAGCCTGCTAGCTGAACAATGAAATCGATATGCTATAGTCATTATTTTGCCCTCTGGCCTATCTTATCTCTCTCTCTCATATTGATGAATATTATCCTTGGAATATCCTGCAGTAGCTGCATTAAAATCACACTGAATATTTAAGATCTTATCTACATACATTAGTTGTACTCTACTGGTATAGTGAAAGTGATATTGCCACTCTAGTGTATATGCAGTTATAGTAATATAAGGGTGCTTTATATCAGTATGGCTAGTCTCATATGGGAAGGGGAATAAACTACACTGGTATGAGCCCTTTATATCAGTATACCTGCATTCACAATAGGGGTTGTACTGGTGTAACTACTTCAGGAAAAAAATCACACCCCTAACTGACGTAATTATAGTGGTCCAAGAACTGCATAGGCTGGGCCTAAGACATTCTTTAGGTTTCTTCGACGTATTATTCTGAGTTATTGAAGGGGAAGGGAATTATATAGTACTTCAGTTAGAAAAGACAAGTGGACTTGCTTGTTTCCTTCTGGATCCTCACTATTCTGTAAGTAGGCCTTTCTGAAGAAAATTTGCATTTCAATAACAGTAGCTCTCTGGACACTTATTTTTACTAGATGTTGAAATGTTCTGTCTATGATTACAGACTTAAAACAATTAGTTACATCTAAGTGTTTATATTCTTCCTTACACTAGCACTTGCATATGTTTTCTTAATGCTTTCCAAATCCAGTCAGCAAGTCTCTCATGTCATAACATGTAAAGCAGCAAATCGTAAGTTATCATCCCACTTCTTTAGCACATCACACACTTTTGATTATAGTCATACAGCCTACAATGTGCAGTGTGATATGTTTCCCTTTTGTCTGTCTTGTCCAGGTCCATTTGTATGGTAATATTTATTGTCCCCTCCCCTCATCCGTTTCAGAATCTGAAAAATGTAGGCTTTCATATTGGAGAAAAAATAGCGGTTTGGTAGAGGGTGAACCTTTCTCAAGTGTGCTGAATTTAACTGACACTATGTAGTCTTTGGCTGCGTTAGTGCTATGAAATTATATTTAGGACTTGTATTTTTTGCTGGTAGTAACAAATGTGGCTGTAGTGAAGATAGGACTCTAAGAGCTTTGTCAGTGGTCGATTTTTTTTTGTATCCTAGTGTTCCTAATGTAGATAAGACCTTTGTAGAGAGCCTGAATAAATAGTTGTGTGACGGGGTTGAACTCTTTCCCCCCCAGTTACTTCAGTGAAGTGTTAATGCTGAAGACTTGCAGGATATAACTACTAATTTTTCAAGTGGCGAGCTTAAGGCTTTTCATCACATACATCGCTACAGCTGTAGCGTAGCCTATAGTGAAGACACTCGTATGAGGATGGGAGAAGCTCTCCTGTTCGCGTAGTTAATCAGCCTCCCCAAGAGATGGTAGCTATGTTGGTGGGAGATGCTTTTCTGCCAACATGGAGGAGGAAGACATGGGGGTGGAGGAGAAAACAGGTGGGGTAGGTTGGTATTACTATATAGCTCAGAGGTGTGGATTTTTCACACCAGTATAGGTCTTTACTGTAGACCTGGCCTAAACCTCTTTCTTCAGCTTTAGAATGTGTTAACTAGGATGATCTAATAACACAGCTTTCTATTAGTCAAAACAAACAGTGAGTTGTGACACAGACGTTTCTGTAAATGTGAAACAATGGGCTAAATTCCTCCCTGGTGTAACTCAACAATTAAGCCTATGCTTCAGCCTGACCAGCTAGCATATGTTAAAGTCTACACTAGAGTTTTAGAATAGGTGTTTGCTAACATGTTCTAACACATTTTGAAATCCTAGTGAAGACAAGCCTAGGGGCAGTCAGTTTAACAACTGCTTTTGCAATTTAACACTTGTTTCAGTCTTTTAGGAATTACTAAACCACACCCAAATTTTTCAGCTGATCACCAGCAATGGAATCTGACTCATCTATTCAGAACCAAGAAAATAAGAAACTTTATTCTTGGATATCAGTGTTGTGGTTCAGCTTTCATTACGGCTATGTACACGTTTGTTTTTTCAGGAAAACTCCATTGCATTATCAAAAGTGATGTTGGGACACAGTAGTAAAAATGCTGGAATTCTATACTTGTGCTTTTACCTTTGCTGTCGCTGGTGGACCTGCAACAGTGTGCGATTTCTTGAAAAATGCTAGGGGTAGGCAAGACTTAAATATTCCTCTTTCAAAGCATTTCCAAATTCAGTGCAGTAACTATAAATTACTAGAAGGTCCACAGAGAGCAGAAAATACTGTTCCAATACTTTTATTTTGGCCTCCCTTGAAAGTAGCTTGTTTCTCCAGTAATCACGTAAAGAGTTCAAGATTAAATCATTGTTTGTTTTTAAATGGATATTTTCTTTGAAGAAACTCCCCCCCGCCCCCCCCCAAAAGTCATAATGCCTTTGGTCACTTAGTAGACACTTCCCCATCCTTTTTTCTCAGTTCTTAGTGGACAGCGTGAGTACATTCTAGGCAGTGATCCTGTTCTGCAATCAGCAACATGGCAATTAACTTTGGTTTTAATTCCCTTTTCATTGTGGGTGTCACTGTTGTTCGGGTGCTTTTGTTTTTTAGTTTCCCATCTTGCTCTTGGTTTTCTGCTAAACACCCAGGGTGGAATCATGGCCTCGTTGAAGTCCATGGCAAAACTCCCATTGACTTAAGTAGGGTCAGGATTTTACCACTGCTTTCTAACCCAGCTTCCCTCTTGAGAACCACAAGAAGAAGTGTGAATAATAGAGTTGGCAAACATCTTCAATCACATGGTGTCTGCAACAAATCTTGTTTCCAATAGCCTACAGAATAAGTAGTACCAAATGAACCTCTATGTCTCTGCCAAGAGAAAGATTACTGACA